TCTTATTATACATTTGGATTCCAGTGCCAATATTTTCTCTACAGATTGGAGAGTAAGTCTGGGCTTGTTAGCTTATGAACAGGGCATGGTCATCAACTTTGTGCGTTACTCTTGTATCAATCTGTATAAATCTGCTCTGTGAGTCCTGTCAGCTGTTGCAGTCTCAGGCTAACCATGCTACACAGGGCTTTAGCTACGGTTGGTTTGTCTCCATCCTCAATTATATTTTGAGCCTGTGAGGGCATCTCAGTGTGGTAAGTGGGTACAACCTGAGCTTTGCTATCTATATGATCCAGCTTTTAATTAGAGGAATGAAAAGCAGCTGAAATTGTATCTCTGCTGCTAACATCTTGCTACTGTTCCCACTTCCCATTCTTTTTTATTATTATTATTAATTATTATTATTATAAATGTTCTGTAGACACTTGAGAAACTGTTTTTGCTTGAATTGAAACTTTTGGTATAGCGTGTCTCTCTGGTGCCATCAATAAAAAAGTAACACTGGAAGGCATCATGCCCTGATCTGGAAAGTGAAGGTGCATGGTGTCTCAAGGCTCCATGCAAATTTCCTCACAAGAGGGAAAACTGACCTGATATATGCACCAGCCCTTGGAGGTCATACATGTCTCTTGTCTTCTGATCATGTGTCTACATGAAGACTCCTGGCATGGACACCCCAAAAGCTCAAGCCAAGTGAAGCCACCCAAAGTATGTTACAATTATATTCTTGGTAAACAAACCAACACAGTATATCTTTGTTGTATATAATTTAATACAATGAAAATATTTCTCTTTGTTATACTTTGAGACAGATTCTCACGTAGCCAAGGCCAGCTCTGAACTGGTCATGTAGATGATAAAGACCTTGATTGCCTGTGTCACCTCACGTGAGTGTGCATGCATTACCTGCACAATGTAGGTGCATCACGTGCATGCTTGGTTCCTGAACAGGGCACTGGGTTCTCTAGAACTGGAATTACAGATGGTTGAGCATCAACACCTGGGTTCTGGGAAGTGGACCCTGGTCCTCTGCAAAAGCAGTGGGTGCTTCTAACTGCTGAGCCTTCTCTTCAGATCCTTTAACTTTGTTTTAAGATTGGAGTTTTCTTTGGATAGACTCAATATTTCCTTTGTGGTAGTTACATTAAGAGAGAACTTTTTGTCAAGTGCAACTGTCATCCACTGTATCCTATTAAAGAATAGAGGGGCAGACATTCCTGGTTCATCCATGCATTTGTTGAATGATAGTCATTATTCAAGTAACTGTGGCCACGCAAATATGCTGTATCAGCTAACAAATTTGAGGATTTGTGAAATGATTTTTCTTCCTCGTCTCCTTTTCTTCCTCCTTCATAATTGAATTGGACATGGTGGTGCTGTCTGTGATGTCACCACTCAGAAGGCTCAAGGCCAGCCTGGAATAATAGTACAACCATGGCTCAAAGACCAAAAAATGTAATGGGTCTTATGCTGAGAGCCTGTTCTTCCCCTGGAGAAAACCTTACTGTAGCCACTCCCCATGTGCTTCTCTTCCTCACAAATCTCCTTTGCCCTCAAGCCAGCTCTGGTCAATAGTAATCCCTTCCAAATGATCTACTTCCTTTGCTCCCCCAGGAGGGCTTGGGAATCATTTGATAGGGGCTGGAGCAAGGTGGAAAACAGGCAGCAAGGAGAGGTATTGTAATGGGTTGCTAGGTGTAATCTCGCACTCCATCGACTCTGGTCCCAAAAGTTCACGTCTTGCCACTGTTTTGGGGTGACTGATCTGTTCCTTCAGCTTTGTCCTTCCCTCATTCTGAACGGTAGTAAGGTCATCGGCTATCTGTGGCCTTTTGCAGTTACTATGAGTGGGTTTTAAGACTGCAGGTGTTAAAGAAATAACAAGTTGGGGAACGTTCTTCTGGTTCTTCATAACCAAACCCCAAGCTTGAGTCAAGCTGCTTTCTCAGTGGGCTTACCTCAGCTGTCATTTGCATCTTCCTGTTGTGTAGGCTCAGGTGTCAGGAATGTAGATCTCAAGGTCTGTGCAGGAGTTCCACTGCTTCTGTGTCCACAGTTCCTTCCCAAGCAACCTTGGAAACTTCTTGTTTTGGGGGGGGGGGGGAGCAGACATGAGGTCTTTCTTGAGGTTTATAACAACACCTCTAAGCGACAAGATTGGCTGCACATATTTGTGTCAAGTTATACTCTTAAAAAATTATTATGGTTACTATTCCTCCATGCAGGATACAGGCCTGCCACGGAGGTCAGAGGACAGTTTTGGGGAACCGATTCTCACCTTCCACTTTGCGACAGGGTCTTCCTTGTTTCTACTACTGTGGTGCATTCTCCAGCCCAGCTGGCCTGAGAATTTATGGGAGGTTCTCCTGTTTCTGCTCCACAACATCTCACCACAGGGATGCTGGGATGCTCCACATCATCTCACCACAGGGATGCTGGGATTACTGATGCAAGTCACTGCACCCGGCTTTTATTACGCAGGTACCAGGGTTACTGGCTCCCTGTGGCCTAGTACTTTATCGGCCGAGTACAGCTATCTTAGTGGCCCCAGATTGTATTCTTGTTTGGAATGACCCGTCTCCACTGCTGCCCCTCACTGTGCTAGATGCCTATGAAGGCAGAGATGACTGGCTTTGGCCATTGGACTCTGTGTGGATGGGCCATAACACATCAGTGTCACAATGTGACATTGGAGGCATAGCCACTAAATGGCGATTTTGATCCTCTCATTTGCTTCAAGTCCCATAGAGGTGTGCCTCTGTCAGCCTACCAGCAATACACAATTACACAGGTAGGTTTCAGCCACAAGTCATTGAGATTTGTTTTTGCTCTATAGTAAAGGAGATGAATATGACCTGTTTTCTTTCTCTTTATTTTAAAATTTATTTATTTATTTTGGGAGTGCTGAATCTCATAAGACCCAGTGATTCACAACAAAAGCTCTAATTTTGGGGACCATTTTCTCTGTCATGAGATTTATATTTCTATGAAACAAGTATCTTGGGATTATCTACTTTTTCCTGGGCCAGGAAAGGAAATGCCTTATCTGTTTGAAGTAAGTGCAGGGCCGGGGTAGCAAACATGGAATATTGAGTGCATGTGTGTGTGTGAGCTAGAGGGTGAGGTCCCTACTTTCAGCTTTTGGATTTAATTCTGACATGCAAACACACACAAAATCATAAAATATAAACTGAAGCCTCCAGGACCTGTCTTTTCTTGCATGCAGGGAGTTTAAGGTAGATGGTATATATAATATAGTCAGATGTGAAGAATGGAGACTGTGTTATCATGCAGTGCCCTGAGGGGATATGGAAGTTGCTTGTGGGAGAGGCTGCAGAGGACAAGGATGGACAGAGAGAAAGGACAGACTGCGTAAGATCACAGAGGTAACGCAGATCATGGGCCTGTGATGGATAGTAACAGACTATCCATCAGACTAGGAGTGTTTCTGCATTAGAAACTGAAGAGGGAAGATAAACCCGGAATGTGGGCTGCATTCTGTGGATGGAAAGTAGCGGAGCAGCTCCTCTCAGCTTCCTGACTATGAGCATTTGTGACCAGCTGCCCCACTTTTGCCCTCATGCCCTCCCTGCTGTAATGGACTGTATCCTCAAATTTCGAGCCAAACTTAATGTCTTATCTTCCATTGCTTTTGTCAGCTATTTTATAAGATAGGACCTGAGGGTAAAAGATGAGGATGAGGGCTGTCAGAGATGGGAAAGGTCAGCCAGGGCCCTGCATGGCTAACAAGTGTGAATGGCAGAGTTCTGGCTAAGGCTTCTAACAAAGGGCTGGGAAATGGGTTTCTACCCCGCTGTTTTAAAAACAACGAAACCATTTGATATTTTCACACATACAGCACGTGCACCGAACTCATCTGTATGGTGGATTATTTTTTCCCGATGGCGGGTGCACCCTGTCCTAATCTGCTGAACAGTCCTCGAATTTTTGAAGCCAGTACTGGGTTGTTGGCGCATGGTCCAGTCATAGCCTTACATTCCTGTGTAAGTTGGCTGGCTTCTAGGTTGAGCTGTGGCTCACCATATTTAGATCTCCTTGGCATTTTAGTTTATGATTATACAAGAACCACACACAATGTGAAAGTACTTGATGCTGCGAGACCATACTCTACCGATAAAAATGGAAAATTCGTGTCATGTTGTCCAAGGAGAAAAACCTGGCCACTATACAAGTATTCACATGCAGAAGGTACAAGCCGGCTGAACCCTAGGGCTGCAATCCATTCCAGCGCCTTTCTTGAAGGTATCCCGGGGGCTTCTGCGGTGTGTCCGGGTCCTGAGGGTGAGCCGGCTCTGCACCCTGTGAGGCCTTGGCCGGCTGCTTCCCTAAGTCTCTGGGCGGAGGCGCAGGGGGTGCAATTTCCAGGTCTCAGAGGAGAACCTCCGCCTTCCTGCCAGGCAGTGCCAGGCTCCTACCCTCGTCGCTTTTAGGGTAGGCTGGGGCAGCTCCGAGGAGCCATCAGTACCTGGGTAGTGTACCCTCTCGCGTCGCTGTCCCGCACCTGCCCTGCGCCCGGGGTCTGCGAGAGAAGTCGGCTACCGATGCACATGCGCAGTAGCGCCGCCGGGAGCCCTGCCTCCTCCTCCTCCTTCTCCTCTTCCTCCTCCTCCGCCACCGCCGCCGCTGCCTCCCGGTTCCGCAGTCACTTCCTGCAGCTGTTTCCCTGTGGCTCCGCTCCGACCGACTTTTGACAATCAGCCTCCAGCAGCGGAGCGGCCGGTCGGAGGCAGCGAGCGCAGAAAGTGGTCGTGGAGCGGGCGGCGGCGCGCGGGGTGTCGGGGAGGCTGCGGCCTGCCGGTTCCGGTGAGTGCGGTCCCCTCGAGTCCGCTCGGCTGCGTCCGTGTGCGCGTGTCAGCCTCGCCCGCGGCGTCCGGCGGGCCACCGATCCCGATCCCGCAGCCATTCGCACAGCCGCCTCGGCGACTCGGTGCTCCCCGCCGGCATCTGCGCGGGACCGGAGTGCGTGTGAGCGTGCCCGGTGCCCAGCCGGGGAATGGCACATGCGGGGGCGATGCTGCAGGGGCGCAGCTTTGAGTCCTAGATGCTGAGCCTGGGTCGCCACGGCCTCCTCCCCTTCTCAGCTTCCTTCTGTGATGTAAAACAGTCTGCCAGGGCTGTTTTTCTGCCAGCCACGTTTTGGTGACCTCTGAGTAAGGTTTTCTCTTTTCTTGTCTTCTCTCCGGAATACCTAGGGGTAGCCTTCCCTACTTTACCCGGACGCCAGGAACCTGTTCCTGGATTCACTTCTTTGCCCTGGGTCCATTTCTGCTAAGGGGAGGGCTGTTGTTTGCAGTACAGCCGGTGAGGAGTAGGCCCCAGCCCGGCCATGGAAACGTGTGTTGTGGTCATTCATTTCCCTCAGACCGGTATATGGTGGAGCTGTGATTTTCTTTAGTGTCTTCTGAGCTCCCTTCCAAATTAGGACATCAAGCTCTGCGCATCCTTCGTGTATGCCATCGCTCACGTCCAGTCGGATGGATTTTAAGATCTGAGAAGTATTTTTATATCAGCTTCTAAATTAGTCTCTTAAATTAATGCAGCAGTTTGAACGGATCCGAGTATGTTTTTGAGTGTCTCTATTTTAGTTTGTGTATTCACTGGAGCCTTGGTTTTATTTATTTTAGATTTTTTTTTTTTTTTACCCAAATAATACCTGTTGTGATTTTCGCCTATAGACTTTTTTTTTTTTGGGGGGGGGTTAGCCTTATGTTGATTGTTAAATATAACAGTATTTTTGAGGTCTCTATTCTTTCTTCGAACATTGTGAGAATAAAATGTAATAATAGGTAAACCTGTGCTGTAAACACCTGCACCCCACCCCGCCAGTGTTTTGCTTTAGAATAAGGCTTTTTGTGCCTCTGCCAGGGAGGAGGGCCTTGCTTCTGCTGGACCACTGTATGATACAGGGGGCAACGCTTGCTGGGGTTTCATCAGGTGGGAGTAAGCATGTAAGAAACAAGCCCAGGCATGTCTTAGTAGGAGGCTGATTCCGTTCTCTATGTATATTGCTGATTTTTTATATCCGGATGTTTTGATATCCTGCTCTGTCCTTTCTCTATGACCTAACAGAGAATCTGGATGACAAGTTAGGGTCAGAATGACATGGTGTGTTATAACTAAGTAGTTAAACTATTTAAAAAGATGGTTTCATTACCCCACCTCCAATATTCATAATCAGCTTTGCAATTTGGATGTTTTAGTTGGGAGAAGTAATATTGTTTCTGAGAAACTTACTGTTTAAATGTATCAAATCTGTATCCCTTTTCTTTCTGTTTTCAGAGATGCAGGTAGTTGATTATTATTCTTTTCTAGCTATTATGGTTAATGAAAAGGATTGTTAAATATTACGACTAGCGACTCTTAACTGAATGACTTCCCAGTCAGTGGCTCCTCTTCACTGTGTGTCTACCAATTGTCTAAATAGTCTTTTACTTTTTAAAGCTTCCTTGAGTCATTTTAGTAAGTCTGTGTTAGTGTCCTAGCCTACACATCTTCATTACAGACAGGAAACCTTAGCAGCTGAAGACACTGCATTGTATTGACCAAGAAAAGGAGTTTGAACAATACTCCTAATAGTAGGGAAGTGTAGACTTTGTTTTTTTTTTTTTTTTTTTGAGGCACACTCTCTCTATATAGCCCTAGCTGTCCTGGAACTCACTATGTAGACCAGGCTGGCCTTAATCCCAGAGATCAGTCTGCCTCTGCCTCCTGAGTGCTGGGATTAAAGGCATGTGCCACCATCACTTGGAAGTGTAGACTTTGAAATAAGGATTCTAATTTGGATAATTAGAAGGTGTTTACTGTGAGGTGTTTTTTAAGTAGTCAGAACGAAAAGCTGCCATCTGATTGGGGAGCCAGAGGAATCAGGGAAAAAGATATAGAGAGAATGGAACATAGTGGGTCTGTTCTGAGGAAAACAATAGAGTCTTGGTTTCTTTTTTGTTGGTATGATCAAATATTGTGGCAAAAGCAACTTAAGGGAGAAAAGGTTTGTCTTACAGTTCAAGTTGTCCTTATCATGGTGGGGCAGCTTAGGAATAGGAACCTGAAGCAACTGGTCAGATCAGGTCCACAATCAAAAGAGAGCAGGGCTGGTGTTCAAATACTGTTCCTTTTGATGAAGTCCAGGACCTATACAGTGGTGCTCCCCACATTTAGAGTGGGTCTTCCCACCTCAACCGACCTGCATCACTCCTCATTGAGACTCCTTTTCTAGATACTTCTAGATCCCGTCGAGTTGACAACTGAAATGATGACCACCGTAGGGCTGAGGATAGTGTGGTCCATTACTTGGTTGGCTATTTTTCAATCTGGATGCTTTATCTAGCTAGCAGGTAATTTACCTCCTAATAGAGAATACGTTTTGATTTGGCAAGGGCAGTAGTCTAAGGCTGGATGATGGAGTAGAGTCATCACACCAAGTCAGTTTCCTGAGTAGGGTTGAGGAGGCGCAGAGCAGGCTGGCCTGGGTATGGAGTATGGTGCTCTTGGCACCAAATAGCTGGTTATGTGCGGTGGAGGAGGTGGGTGTGGTGTTGCCAGATTATCCTTTCATTACTAGATTCTGTGAAGCTTTTGATTTTTAAATATTGACAGCGAATTCAACTTAAAAACAAAAGCAAAACAAAACTCTTCCAAACAGCACATCTGTGCCCTCTGAAGCCCACAGGCTGTTGCTGTCCTCTCTGCCTTCCAGAACCACTGGCTTAGTAGCTACTGTTGCTTGCTTAGAAGTATCAATTTGTTTGCATCTGTTACGTTTTAATGCCCTCTTTCTAGATTTCACCCACCTTTCAACAAGTCTGAGTAGTGTCTGGGTGTTGGCTGTGCAGGACTTCCATTGTAGCAGCTGGGGGCTTGAGGCAGGAGGATCAAGAGTTAAAGTTGGAGCCTGGCTGTGGTGGGGCTGTGGCAGGGCTGTGGCGCAGGCCTTTAATCCCAGCACTTGGGAGGCAGAGGCAGGTGGATTTCTGAGTTCAAGGCTAGCCTGGTCTACAGAGTGAGTTCCAGGCTACACAGAGAAACCCTGTCTCAGAAAAAAAAAAAAAAAAAAGAGTTAAAGTTGGTAATTAATGTGTTGTCAAACACTTTTCATGTTATAAGTCTCACAAGCCCTGTGCTTGTTAGTTATTTAGCAATCTTACAGAGTTTAAAGTATAAGAAAATAGTTTGTATTTTGAGACATTTCAAAAAAGAGAGTTAAAATCTTTCTCGGCACCATAGCAGATTTGAAGACATTCTGGCTATGTGAAACCCTGTCTTTAAAAAGCCGAGAGAAAAGGTGGCTGGTGGGTAAAATGCTGCTTTGCCTCTTAGGTACACACATGTATGTAAATGTAGGAAGAGCTTGTGGTTTGTCACACACACACACACACAGCCACAATAAAAGTAAACAAAACAAAAATACCTAAAGGAAAAAAAATGAAGAAAAAAAGGAAAGGAGATTCTTAGAGGTAATAATCTTCTACTCTTTGATATCCTTTGGGTGGAAGAGTTTTTTACCTGGTGGCTTTTCTCTTGTTTGCTTGTTCGTTTGTTGTTTGGGTTATAAATATTACCATCAAGAGTGTATCAGCACTCCAGAGAAGGGGGGTCTGGATGACCTTAGATGTCGAATTCCAGCCATGTGACTTTTCAACTTAATTGCTCATGGATGCAGTGCTGCTAATTAATGCCCATGGCCAGAGGGATGACATTTGGAACTGAGCCAAGCAAAATAAAGGCAAATCTCCGAAGCTATCCTCAGGGCAAAGCCTTATGTTAGTGGGGATAACCAGGCAGGGAAGGTCTCCTTGGCTAAGATTAAGGAGAGATGCCTCAAAGGTGGGTTTGGAGAGAAAAGTGACTTTGGTGTCATTTCCATGTCATATTGCTGAGTTCTCATTTTAATTTTCTTCCCTGGTTGCTTTAGGTTTGGAGACTCCATCCCTTGTCACCCACTGGATTATGCTCGTGGCTTTCCTGCCTGATGATTCTTTTGCAGCAGGTCTGGCTTCCTTTACCTAATCGGCCCTCAACCTCTCCTCCTATGTCAGTGGCTGCCAGGTCCACAAGGACCTTGCAGCTCCCGCCACAGAAGGCTTTTGGGCAGGAAGCATCCTTGCCTCTGGCAGGGGAAGAGGATTTAGCTAAGAGAGGGGAGCCAGACTCTGCCCTGGAGGAGCTGTGTAAGCCCCTCTTCTGCAAACTCTGCAATGTCACCTTGAACTCTGCTCAGCAAGCCCAGGCACACTATCAGGTAAGAGATGGAAAGGACAGCAAGTGTCAGCAGGGTGAGCATTTTGGGTGCTGGTTGGTTAGACGGTATCAGTGGGGTGAACATTTTAGGTACCATCTGGCCACAGGTTGCCTCTCCAGATATGGCCAGTTGTGTCTGGAGAACTCAGCCGAGCTAAGGAATAGAGTTCCATGTTTCACACAGTGGGTTCTGCCCGTGGTTCTGAGGAGAAGGTGTGATGTGCTATATTAATTCAGTGTAAAATTGTTCTAAAGTTTGAGCAGCTTGCATCAGCTCAATGCTACCTACTATATACATGACTCTTACACTTCTTTTACTTAAGACTTCTCCTATGTGCCCTATTATGGCTGAGGCAAATATAGGTGACTTTTTATAAAGAGAATAATATGGTATTGAATTACTGAGTCCTACCTTCATCATAAACATAGCTTAGTTTCTTTTAGTATTCAGAGTAAACTGATACTGAATATTAAGATTTAAAGTACTTAATGTAGACTAGATTGTGGAAAAGGCCATTTTAAAAGATATTATTGCCTAAGAATAAATGGGGAACTAGGAGAGGGTATAGGGTTTGTTTTTAAGTATTTTATTTTTAGTTATGTGTTTTTGTGTGTGCGCATGTGTGTATGCATGTGTGCATGTGGGTAGACACAGAAGCTAGAAGAGAATGCTGGATCCTGTCTTAGTTAAGGATTTATTGCTGTGAACAGACACCGTGACCAAGGCAACTTTTTTTTTTTTTTTTTTGGTTTTGTGAGACAGGGTTTCTCTGTGTAGCTCTGGCTGTCCTGGAACTCACTCTGTAGACCAGGCTGGCCTCAAACTCAGAAATCCGCCTGCCTCTGCCACCCAAGTGCTAGGATTAAAGGCGTGCGGCACCACCGCCCGGCCGAGGCAACTCTTATAAGGACAACATTTAATTGGGGCTGGCTTACAGGTTCAGAGGTTCAGTCCATTATCATCAAGGCAGGAACATGGCAGCATCCAGGCAGGCATGGTGCAGGAGCTGAGAATTCTATACCTTGATCCAAAGGTGGCCAGGAGGAGACTGTCACAGTGGCCAGACTTGAGCATATAGGAGACCTCAAAGCCCCGCCTCCACAGTGACACACTTCCTCTAACAAGGCCATACCTCCTAATAGTGCCACTTCCCATGGGCCAAGCATATTCAAACCATGTTGGAAGTATGGGAACTGCTTTTTGACTTTGATTTTAAAGGGGATTACAATTAGGAAATTATATGAATCTCAGGAAAGATTTGAACTTGGAACTTATAACATTGTTGAGACTGTTATAGACTCTGGTGCTTTTGAAGTTGGACTAAGTGTATTTTGTATTACATTATAGGTAGGTATGGCCCCCATAGACTCATATGTTTGAACAAGCCTATGGGGACCAGGTAGTGAATGGAATGTGGTGGGTTGAGTAAGCTGTTAGTTATAAAGCATTTCTTCTTGCCTGAAACTACACTTTTCTGTTATGACCTTTACTGCTTTCAGGTTGGCCTCACTGAGGTGACAGAAAAGAAAGAAAAGACAGACAGCATTTAGAAAATCCCGTGGGCAGTGATCTCTGCTGGGAATGCTTTAGAATGCAGTGGCCAGGGAACTCAGCACTCTAGCAGGAGCAGGAGGAGGCAGGTTAGCAGGAGGGGGACTCCACAGGGGAGCAATCTTAGGCTGCAGGCATCATTTCTTGATTCTTTCTATACACTGTTAAGAGTAGTGGTCAAGTTCAGGGGACTAAGAAGGCCATGCCATTCCCATGAGTCCCTGAGCTCTGGGTCCCTGATATAGCTCATGTCAACAATACACATTCATTCAGGAGTTTGTCAGCTCCTCACACTTTTCTCCATTTTAAAGTTTTTTTGTACTTAATTTTGTCTTTGATCCTAATTGAACAGTTTGTCCTGCATTAGAAATAATTCCTTGGGAAGAAAAGGTCTGTTGCTCTATCTTGTTCAGGTTTGTTTGCATCCATCAAGAGAGTGGAATTCATTGGAGCAGGTCTAAACACAACTTTGGTTCATCAAGGCTTCCATGGTTTTTTTTCTCTTTTTTTTTCTTCCCAGTTCCACTTCTCATCCCTGAGTGCTACTCCCCATGACAGAGGCCAGATACTGGGTGCTTCTTTCCTGTTCAGGTGACACCTGATAGGATGACCCATCTTAAACAGACATCAATGTACCTTTCTTTTCCATTTATTCTTGTGAGATGTTTGTTTTTGTTAAGATTCACTTTGCAAAAATCAAGGATGAGTTGGGTAAGATTTTTAGCTCTTTGAAGCCCTTCTTAGAGATCATTCTTGGGCATAAGCCTGCTTTTTGCCTTTTGCATGGTTATTACTTTTAGTGAAAATCAGGTAATGTGTGATTTTATTTTTTAGTTTTAGTGATTTTATGGTTTTTTTTTGTTGTTGTTGTTGTTTTTTGAGACAGGGTTTCTTTGTGTAGCCCTGACTGTTCTGAAACTTTCTCTGTAGATCAGGCTGGCCTTGAAGTCATAAGAGATCCACCTGCCTCTGTTTCCACCACTTCCTGGGAGCAACCTATGATTTTAATGTGTTTTTGTGGGCTATATTATACCTTGAGTCGCTTTTCCCCAATACAGTTTTGTGTCTCTTATGTCTGCATATTGATAGAACCTTGTAGTTTTGCACAGAGAATTTAGTTTGATGGAAAAAAAATCATTGGATTTAGGCTTAAACTACAAATGAATTCAACCTTTTAAAAAAATTGCATATTTTTATGTGTTTGCTCTAAACTTTTTAGTTGACAAGCTTTGTAAATTTGTAGATTATTCCTGTTTTCTCCATGAGGCATTGTGTAAACAAACCAGAAAACAGAAATAAAAAATGAGAAACATTTCTCCTTAATACAGATTTTAAATGGAAACGTTGGGGGTGGGGACGGGGAGAAGGACAGTTGGTTACAGAACAGAAGTCAGATAGCCAAGCGTGAGGATAAAAGACAGAGGAGAAAAGAGCCAGGTGGGCATGGAGAATGCAGACCCTGCTCACACTGCGGGGTGGAGGGCAGGGGAGTAGACGGCCAAGGAAAGCCTCTGCTACTGATCAAGTTTGAGGTCAGCCTGGGTTACATGAGACCCTATATTATACCCACCCCCCCAAAAGCAAGTAGAGCCTAATTAAAAAAAAAATTGAGGTTTGGGTGTGGCAGTGCATATTTCTAAGTTAGCCTAGAAGTAAAGGTTTGTATAAGGCCAGTGGTACTGGTAATTATTGAGGTGCAACTACCTCCCTCCCTCCCTCCTTCCCTCCTTCCCTCCCTCCCTTTAAAGCAAGGCAGAGGAGTTTGTGTGTCTCTATCAAAGTAGTGTGGAAGAGAACAGATCTAAGAAGTGAACTTTGGATTGTGTGTATGTGGTGTGTTTGTACACATTCCTGTGTATGGGTGCACATGTGTGTGACTATATTTGGAGGACAGAGGTTGGTGTTAGATGTCTTCTTCAACCATTCTTTACCATACTTTTTTTTTTTTTGTTGGATATTTTATGTATTTACATTTCAAATGTTATCCCCTTTCCTGGTTTCCCTTTCAGAACCCCCCCTCCCATACCCCCTGCCCCTGCTTCTATGAGAGTGTTCACCTCCCACCCACCCATTCCCACCTCACCACCCTGGCATTACCTTACACTGGGGAATCGAGCCTTCACAGAAGCAAGGACTTCCTATTGATTCGAGACAGTGCCATCCTCTGCTACATATGCGGCTGGAGCCATGGGTTCCTCCATGTGTACTCTTTGGTTGGTGGTTTAGTCCCTGGGAGCTCTGGGGGTGGGGGTCTGGTTGGTTGATATTGTTGATCTGCTCCTTCAGTCCTTTCTCTAACTCCATTGGGGACCCCGTGCTCAGTCCAATGGTTGGCTGTGAGCATCTGCATCTGTATTTGTTAGGCTCTGGGAGAGCCTCTTGGGAGACAGCTCTAAGGTCTTTTGCCATACTCAGAACCCACTGACTTAGCTAGGCTGGGTGGACCATTGAGAGCTCCAGGGATCTGTCTCTGCCTCCTCAGTGCTAGCCTGGTCTATACAACAAGTTCTAGACCAGCATGTGCTACTTCATGAGATCCTATTTCAAAAACCAGGAGACAGAAACTAAGTATGTATCCTAGGGCTCTGAACTCAGGTCCTCCTGCTCATGAACCGGATTCTTTACTGACCGAGCCATCTCTCCAGTGTCTTGAGATTTGGATTTCTAGGAGAGAAGTAGACAGCTTGAGAGTGTATTGAAGAATAATCAGAGCATGATTATGTAGAACCAAGAACAGGTGACCCATCATGGAAGGAAACTAGCAATGTTTGCCCAGAGCCAGGGACATGGCCCCTGTGATTCTAGCACTTAGGAGGTGGAGGCAGTAGGGCTTAGGGTTCAAGGCATTCTTGCTACATAGTATCCAAGAACTCTAGAACATCCTGGGATATTTGAGACCCTGTCCACATCAATCAGAAAAATGTCAGACTGAAAGATGCATAAGTGGTTAGGCCTAACTGAGTGCTAATAAAAGAAAGCTATTAGGGCCAGCGTGGCACAGGGAGCCAGGACTCACTAAGCAGTAGCGAGAGGCGGAGGCAGTAAGTGCAGACTGGTAAAGCCAATGGTTTATGACTAAAGGAGGCTACAAATGTAAAGCTTTGTTGCAAGATGAAAAACCTGCTTTGTAGTTGTTATTTCAGGGTGATATCACGGACAAACATCTGTTATCTCAGTCACGTGCTTGTAAGTGGACAGGCCCTGTGTGAATGCACAGTTCACCCTCTGTATTACCTGACCCTCTTTCGTGAGCTGCTGTTGTTGACTTTGGAGTTTCATATTGCTCAGTGTCGTAAGCAGCCATTGTTAACTGAAGTCCGACTATATCATGTTCCAGTACTCAGGATACAGTACTGCTCCTTAGTCACTCCCCTCAGTCTCACTTCCATTTCTTCTGACTTCTTGATGTTCCTCACTGTGGGCTGTCTTCCCCAGCCATGGGTAGCCAT